TTTTTTTCATATTTTTCATATTTTTTATTAGTTAATTACTCATTTTCGGGTTTTACCGAAAAAAACATTATTTTTTTTTTGTTGAAAATGTTGAATTTAAGGTTACAATATTTATTTGTGTATTTTTGGCGTTAATTTTATATTTTTTATTAATCAATTATTCATTTTCGGGATTTACCGAAAAAAATAAAAATTTAAACAAAATTATTGAAAACGGGTCGCCTAGTTTATTTAAAAGGGGGGTTGATTGGTAGGTCAGATTAGGTGTTTATGGTTTGGAATTTTTTAGGGACATAATTGATCCCTTTCCATTTTCATATAAATGTCATGTGGTAAAGTCAAAATGACATGATAATTCTATGTGGCATTTAAAGAAATGAAAAATGAGTTGAATATGTCCAGCAGACCAACTAACGCCCATAAGGGCATATCTAGACGAAAAGTTGGACGGCGAGGCACGAGTGAGCCAAACTTTAAACGGAGGGTATATTTAAACCTTTTCGAATAGTTTAGGGGCATATTTGACCCTTTACCCTATATATTATTCCAATTTTTTTCTTTTTGAGTAAATTGAAACAACTCGTATAAGGATAGGTTAGGTTACGGTCTATAATTTTGTAAATCATCACAATTTTGTCCGTAAAGTTCATCAATATGTAAAAAAATATTACTAATATTATATTCAAATTTAACACTGTCTAGCAATATAATTCTCCAGAGAGTATATTTGCTGAACTTCTAAAAAGAGAAACTAAATTTAAATCATAGCCTAAAAGAGGATATTAGCGTAAATCATCCAAATTTACTTTCAAACCATCAACATTTAGGGTAAAACTTTCATTTTTTTAGGACAGTTATTTAGCAAACTTTTTTTTTTTAAAAAAAATGATTTATGAAACTTTCATATCGTGGTCTAAAGATATTTTTTAATTTGAACAAATTGAAAATAGGAAAAATGGATTGATATATCCCTCTACTTTGATATTTAGAGGTGATATACCACTCGTTATAAAAGTGACTCGTATATACAAACATGTATTTTCTTAAATCAACGAATTTTGTATCTTTTTTTTTTTCAAATAAAAAAAATCACAATATATTGTTTATCCCCATCAACTGCCATAGTAGGAGTACTATTTTCCCTATTCCATTATACGTGATACTGATTTTTTTTTGGTCTGTTCTAAAGGAAATGTCAGTTATTATAATTAGAAAAAAATTGACTTAAAATTATTTGTTTACTATTTATCTAATCAGACAAATATATAAGCATGGTTTAAAATTATAAATTTTAAAAATCTTTCAATCTTTTTAAAATACTGTATAAAGTTAAATAATATCACATAAAATAAAGCGAAGAAAACAATAATTTATTTTGATATTAGATAAAAACTACCTAAAAAAATCTCCCATATGTTTAGCATTAAAGTGATTTTCATCAGTACTTTAGAGGAGAGAAGAGAAGAGAAGAGAAGGATGAAAAACTTCCTCCGCTAATCTGAACCGTACATTTCAATCCCACAAACAAGATCTGAACCGTTAAAAATCCGTCTCGATATTTTCAAAACTCACAAAAGCCTCTCATTATATCGTGTCGTCAGATTCAGCTTCGAAAAAGTAAAAACAGTACATCAGAAACTGCTGCACTCGAAAGTACCAATAAGCCCTTCACTTCACACTGAATCACTTTTCAAATCCTTCACCCAGCTCAAGGGCATTACAGGAAATTCACCACACGACGCCATTTGAGCCAGTTCTCTTTTCTCTGTATCGGTAAGAAATAGTGCACAAATGAAAACTCACATCTCCACTTCCACGCGCATTGGGTGCGCGTGGTGTCACGATGCCATTTTATGTGAAAATATTTAGGAAAAAGAAATATTTTCTCTCAATAGTTTAAAAAAAGGATAATGTTTGGTTAAAGTAATTAAGGGAGTGATTTTGAAATTCTTTTCAACTCTTTATTCTTTCTTAAACTGGAAATTAATTAGATAAAAGGTAGGCAGTCACATCAAAATTGAAAGTTCACTTACCCTACTTTTGCTAATGTGATACATAAAATAGGATATTAAACTTTTAAAAAAAGAATTTGCTAACAAATGTTGTAAGTTGAATTTGTGATATTTTTTCTTTCTGATTAAATAGATAGAGAATGTTTGGTTAACAGAAATTGACATTGGAGAAAAAAGTCTTATTTAAAATACAAAAAATAAAATAATAATAATAAAGAAATAGATTGTCTTCTATGAACTTGTTTAGTATGGAATTTGAATGATTATTCTTTTGTCCAACAACTTTTTACGACTAAATGACGCTAATTTATGTAAAACTCATTTCCATTATGCTTCTTTATATATATGTATTACACATGTAATTATAATACTCTCTAATTTACTTGAGAAAGAAACTTTCATAATTAAATTTAACATCTTTCATTTTCTTAAAAATATTTTTTCACGCGACGCGTGTCTATATAAAAACACAAGAGACACGTTTCAAGTTCCTGCAAAATACTCAAAAGGATTGTATATTGTTGTCTTAATTAAAATGTTTAATTAAATGAATATTGTTGGTAACAAAATGTTATTACTAGTATGTATTATAAAAAAAAGTAAAGAACCTTTACCTTCCAAAACAGGGAGTACTCAACACGCTCCTTTGTTGCGAGTATGTATGTAAACCCTTGCAGAAAAGATAACTGCGTCTCCAGACAAGCCACAAAAACTAAAATAAAATATATATATTTTAAAAAAAAACAATAATTAAAATAAAAATGAAAAAACAAAAAGATAGAGAGAGGAGAAGATGAAGGGCACTTTACTACTTTTTTATGTTGCACGCATCCATGGCAGAAATCAGAAGGAAAATAAGAGTAGTATTACAAGGGAAACAAGAAGAAGAGAAGAAGAAAATAGCTAAGCCAAATTCTTGCTAACATCAAAAACCCTTTTTAACTTTTCTCCATCTCAACAATCTTGGCTTAGCTATTTGGTCTTATTGTTGTCTTAAGAAGAGTAAATGATTGTATATGAATGAGGTGGGTGTCCTTAGATGGACATCTCCAGTTTGATGCATTAATTTTGTTTCTTCTAGGTCTATCAAATCTTTTGATTTGTGGGTGTACTTTAGATGAAGGGGATGCCCTTACCCTTTGAATTTGAGGGGAAGGGGGTGTTAGAATTAGACGTTTTGTTCAATAAAAATAGTATCTTGAATTCTTGGAATAACCACAATAGCAGCAAAGAAAGTAGTAGTTGTTGTTACTTTGTAAATAGTCCAAGTGCTGTCCTGGATACTATAAGGAGTCCAAGGCCTATTAATTCCTCTTCAACCCTGTCTTCATCTTTGGGTGGTGGTGGTGGTGGTGGTGGAGGCACTGCTTCCACAGACACTGCAGGAGGCGGAGGTGTGGCGGCAGTTTCTGCAAACCCATCTTCTAAATGGCAGCAGCAAGACAATACTACTGCTACAAGCTCCAATGTGGGAGCTGAATCTGAGCTTCAACAAGTTCAACCCCCATCTTCTCTTGAGATGGGTGCTGCTTCTGCAGCTGCTGCCACAGGAGGGGAGAAATGTGCTATGGAGGAGTGGGAAGGAGGGTTATCAGAGTCTGTAATGGCTTCACCTTGCCAAGAACAGTCTATACTAAGGTGGATCATGGGAGATGTGGATGACCCTTCCATGGCTAACTTGAACAAGGTTTTGCAGGTTAGTGGTACAGGGGACTATGAATTCAATGGAGGATTTGGGGTTGTGGATCAAGGTTTTGGTGTAGACCCAGTTGGCCAAATTGGTAGTTTTATGCCTGCAATTAGCTCAAGTTCAAGTTTTCCTACCAACAGAATGAGCAGTGACAAGATTGGTTTGGTCTCTAACCCACCCACAAATCTCCCTCAAAATCCAATCTTTCCTTCTTTGTCTAACAATCTTGGGCCAATTGCTTTCGGCCAGACACAGCAACAGCCGTTTGAGAGCACAGATTTGAAGCCTCATAGTTTCAATTCACAGTTCTTGATAAACCAGCACCAAACACAGATTCCTCAGAACCCATCGTTTCTTTTGCCACTACCATTTGCACAACATGAACAAAATCTTGTCTTGCCACCGCAGGCGAAACGACACAACCCCGGGACCATGGGAGGGCTTGAACCAGGCTCTCAGATCTCCAAAGGATTGTTTTTAGATGCAGGGCACCAGCAGCCAACACCATCTCAGGGGCTTGCTCATCAGCTCCAGCTACTTCCCCATTTTAGGCCAGGAGCAATGGGGACAAAGCCAAAGATGGTGGGGGAAGAAATGGGTCAGTTTCATCAACTACAACAACAGCAGCAGCAGCAACAACAAGCGATTATTGACCAGCTATTCAAAGCTGCAGAGCTGGTCCAGACGGGGAATCCGGTACTCGCGCAAGGGATATTGGCGCGGCTCAATCACCAGCTCTCTCCAATTGGTAAGCCTTTCTATAGGGCTGCTTTTTATTGCAAGGAAGCTTTACAATTGCTACTCCATGCCAACACCAACAACTTGAACCCATCTATGGCCTCTTCGCCTTTTAGTCTCATTTTCAAGATTGGTGCCTATAAGTCCTTCTCTGAGATCTCACCAGTTGCACAGTTTGCTAATTTTACTTGTAACCAAGCCCTGCTTGAGGTCTTGGATGGGTTTGAAAGAATTCATATTGTAGATTTCGATATCGGTTATGGCGGGCAATGGGCCTCCCTTATGCAAGAGCTTGCCTTGAGAAGTGGTGGCGCACCTACTCTGAAAATAACTGCATTAGCCTCACCATCCACACATGACCAGCTAGAGCTTGGACTCACCAGAGAAAATTTGATCCATTTTGCTAGTGAAATCAATATGGCATTTGAGTTTGAAATTTTAAGCATTGATTCTTTAAATTCAACGTCATGGTCACTGCCTCCTTTAGTCTCAGAGAATGAGGCAATTGCTGTCAATCTTCCAGTTAGCTCGCTTTCGAGCTATCAGTTGTCCCTTCCATTGGTTCTTCGTTTTGTGAAGCAGTTGTCACCTAGGATTGTGGTATCTGTGGACAGAGGTTGTGACCGGACTGACCTACCATTTCCAAACCATGTAATCCAAGCCCTTCAATCCTACTCAAACCTTCTTGAGTCACTTGATGCTGTAAATGTGAATTTTGATGCCCTCCAAAAGATTGAAAGGTTCTTGCTCCAACCAGGAATTGAAAGAATTGTAATGGGTCGTTTTCGTTCCCCTGAAAAGACGCAGCATTGGAGGTCACTGTTTTTGTCATCTGGATTCTCGCCATTATCTCTCAGCAATTTTACAGAATCACAGGCCGAGTGTGTAGTCAAGAGGACTCCTGTTCGAGGTTTCCATGTGGAGAAGAGGCAGTCTTCACTTGTTCTCTGCTGGCAGCGGAAGGAGCTCATCTCAGCTTCAGCTTGGAGGTGCTGAGGAGCAGGAATTAAATTTGCAGTTTCTAACCAACCATGAAAAAGAAGGTGCTGCATAAGTCACAATCACTGTTTTAGTATCTGAACCTTTCAATTTTTGTTGCCCGCAATTTTTATTTGCTAATTTCCTGTGGCGTAGGCAGATTGTTTCGGCATTATAAGAAGAATCAGTCATTCTGTTAACTGTTCTGCTATAGTTCCTTATATCAGGGTCTATGTTAATTATGGTATTACTATTATGGTGCTCTATGATTTTCTGGAGGTAGGCCTTTGCTGCTTCTAGTTATGCCGAGAACCTTGTTGTAATCTTGACAACATTACAAAACCAGAAATTAAAAAAGATGGAATTTTAGCCCATTTCATTGATGCTCCTGTGTGGTATATAGCGTTGATTGTTTCACTAGCATGACATGCTTTAGTTTTGATTATTTACTTTTAAATTTTTAATGGAACAGTTGTTTAACTATGAGGGATGATCCTTATTGAATTTCATCACGTCCTGATCTGGATACTTTTGTTGTTATTCCATGATATTTACCTAGTGAATCGAGAGTTTATCGTTTCTCCAGGGATCCCAGGGGTGGAATATCGGTGAATCTTCTGTTTAAGTTGCTAGTATATGTCAGTGTTCCGTCCTAGCTCTGCCAACATTATATTTGGTCCAACTCTAGCTCTTATTACTAATTTGTTGTTAAGTCATCTGCATTTGTTATCCGCCTCCCTTACTTGTCCACTAGAATCCCACTCTTCAGGAATTGCAAAAATTAGATAGGGAATGTCAGAGTAATTACATGAAAAACATCCTCATGTGTAAGTAAATGCTTTGACACACTGTGATTAGCTTTCACCCATTGCATATACTTGTAGCAGAGCAGATAGAATGTTCCTTTCTTCAGTGGATACATGACCATGTCTGACTACTCCAGTTGTCTAGGAAATCTGAAGTCCTAGTCGTTCTGTTATCCTAGCTCATCTAGACCCGAGAAAAATGGGGTAAATTTTTGGAGAACTCAATTCATCATGGTTTCTATGGATATCAATGTGTTCTAGGAAACAACGGTCGGATGTTGGCCTAAATTCCATATAATACATGCATCCTTAGAAACTATAATGCTACTTGCAACGGCATTGCTAATTATCTATGAGGTAGTTGCATTATACTATTACTTTTGGTATTAAATAATGAAGTTGATTATTTTTGTATAATCTATCACGTTATTATGCATGCCAACACTTGTATTATATGCATTATAAGACATTGAATTTGCTGCTATAATTTCTTTAATACCTGTCCTAATCAAATCACATGGGGTTAGCAGTATTGGACCCCCACATGATTAGTTTAATCTCTTTCATTTCCTTGGAAGTTCTGCATTCATTACTTCAATCTGGCAATATTTTATACTTAAGTCACAATATTAAACGAGAAAGGCCATGTTGGATGGAGAGAGATGTTTGGCCTTCTTATTAGTAAAATGATTAGCTGACGTTTATTATGTTTCTTTATGAACAATAAACGGACAGCGGTGATGTGCCCTGGATGTTATTTTATTTTACGTTGTTTGTTATGTGTCTTCGTAATTTTATATGCATATACTGAATGTGGAACTTAAAATGGTTATTTCCCTCTTCAGTTTTGACCTATTTTACTTGTGGGGCTGTAGAAGCTGTAAATTCTAAGTAGAGGCAGATTACAATGTCACACTGTTTGTCTCACTCTTCCCTTTTCTTCCTCCTTTATTCAAGGTTCTCTGAAGGGAGATTGTGTAAGCAGAAATGCCCTTTTCATTAGTATTTTCCTTCTTGTAGTGTTTATGGAGAAGGATGATGAAACCTTATTGTACACTATATGTCATCCAAGTGACTTATAATACTCGATACTTGTGTTGGTGAGAGGTGCTAGGTATTTGTAGAATAGTTGAGGTATCTCGGAAAGAATAAAAAAAAGAATCTAATTTTATGTATGTGGCTTGAAATGGCAAGGCATAAATTGTGATGGGTGGTTGTGGTCCTTGAGATACACAATTAAAGTGGTAAATGCAAAAATGTTTGGATGTTAGAACATGTTCATTTATGAGGTTAGCTTTGAAACAATGTGTTTGTTTGATTGTTGTTCAAGGGTGTTGATGAAAATGAGAACAAACCAGCCAGCCTCTTTCATCATTTAAAAGTAGTATTATTAAGGTTCATTAATGAATTAGATAAAACATAGAGAGATGGTGACATACTGACAATAGTTCTTTTAATAATGTTTACCCTCCTGCTTACTCAAAGATTTGGTGATATGAACTCTCTTTTTAGATCTTTAACTTTACTAGTCTAAAGCACTTGGGGACACACTTTTCTTTGGTCTGTAGGGTCCCTTTTGTTTTTTTGTTATCAGTATTTATTTCTCATCGATTCAACGTCACATTGTGTACCTGCACTTCATTAATTCCTTTTTATCTTCCGTTTGGTTAGGGGTATTAGTTAGTCCCAAAATTATTTATTCCACCATTTATGTTATAACGATGAGATAAGTTAACCTCCTATTATATGGTGAGATAATCCATCCATGGGATGACTTTCAATGCCGAATAATACTAGTGTAATAGTAACTTATAGTTGATCCTAAGTGGTCGTTTGGTAAAATTATAGGAATAGTACTCAATAAGGTGTATTAGTAATTCTGATTAATTATCATGGGGTTATTTTTTATTCGGTATTTGGTTTGATGTATTAAGGACAATTATGTTTTTAACTATGCATATTCATGCATTATACTCCTTGTATAATTAATACCATGATTTGTGGTATAATACATGTATTAATTGTTGCACTTTTACACACTACTATTTATGAGTTTCTATATCAGGTACATACATTTTAGAATGAGTTTTATTTAGGAGTAACACATGCTCTGCTCTATAATTTTTGTATTTATGACAAGGTAGTTTGTTCTAACAATTGGGGTGTTATAAATGTGACTTTTCTTAATTTGGATTCAACGTGGATTTGCTGTCTCTTGTCTAATTGTCTTTGCCGTCTCCTACATTACCTCTTTATTAAGTATACCTCCCCATTTTTTTTCAATATAAATGTCATTTTAATAAAAATTAAGTCTATTAAAAAATTAATTAATACAATGTCTAGTTCTATACAATATATTTAGTTGATTTACTAAATTCACTCTAAACTGCTTCTAAAAAAGAGGTGTTTTGTAATACTGTTAATTCTATTTCCTTCCATCTTAAATTATTTATCGTGTTTATTTTTACATGTTCCTTAAGAAAATATTTTGAGAGGGCTTTATAATTATTTTACCCTTATTTATATCTTAAGATGTAATATCTCTTCACTGAATTAATATTTACTCTACTTATATGTCATCTCCTCATAATTATATTGTTTGTAGTCTTCAACAACAATTATTACTAGGATTAAAATAGAAAAAATAATTAATTTTATACTAAACTTCTAAAATATCATATTAATTTGAGATATCTATTTTTTTTATATATATAATCACAACAAATAATTTGAGACGATAGAGAACTCAACTTAAACTTTTGGTATGGGAAAGTAGGAAAACTTTAGTAATATCTTTTTCATATTTCGTTATTTACTTCTTCTTTTTTTCAAATCAAATGCAACTTATTTATCGTAGGGTACAAGCCTTTTTCCATATCTTAAATAACTAATGAGGTGTGATGTTTCCTTGTCTTCAATTTTTTCCTAATTTTAAAAATGGTTAATTTCACACATAAAAAAATAATACCATAAATTGTGTAAATAATTCCACAAAGCCATGAAGCACATGGAAACCAAATTATGGAAATGATCGGCGGCGCATTTTTTTTATACCTAAATATATGATATTTAAGGCAGCATTATTATTCTTACAAATTTTTCAATAATAGTTGACTTTAAGCTATAATTATCCTCTGCAGTTGACGAACCGACACAAAATATCAACTGTCAATATAATTTGTTTGAATGTTTTAATATAGGATTTTTGATTATCTATGACTGATAAGGGATCCGAAAATGGGTATATTTGTATTATAATCATAATATTAAACACTACTTTTATGTGCGTACAAATTAAATGTCTATTCAATATAATAATTTATAAATCATACAGACAAGGTAAAACTATTTAAGAGATTTCTTTCTCAATATTTCAATTTTAATTACAATATCACGAGTTTTAAAATAATTAAAATGGAAAGGGAAAAAATTGAAATACATTCCATTTTATTTAAAGAAGTTGAAAATTTCTTAGATCTTGATTTTGCTTGTTCTTGACAAGATGATTAATTAAAAGAGTTATCACGAGAGCTTAGCTACTTTTGTGTTTTTCACGAGTTACGTAAAAACAAAAAGGGAAAGTCAGTTGAAGATAAATTTAGTTTATGAAATATATATAAATAGTACTACTCAAATAATTTATGATATTTATAGGCTAGCTACTATTTATATTTCTCATCTCATCACACTGTTAAAATGAAAATGACAATAGATAACCTTAAAACAAATATATATTGTATTGAAGTTGGTAGGACCCAATGTTTTCACTACGATTTGTCCCAATCAAAGGCTTTATGCCACATGTATGGCTTCATAGATATATTACAATCAATGATACATGGACTACTCAAATATTGAGGATATGATTCAGTACAAGTATATAAATTTCAATATAAGTACCTGAGATTGATTATTTTATTTTTAACAATAGTGTTCGAGCCAACTTCTTTATGTGTTAGGAATTTTCTTGTACGTACACCTTAAAACATTCACAGAACACACCAAAGATCGATTTGACAAAGGAAGTAAACAAGCAGGGACACAGTTGTTTTATTACCTGATAGTATGTTGATATTATAACAAAATAATAGTTGAAAGAAGTTTGAGTTGGTTATATGAATTAATTTCCATTGACTATATATATATAGTAAGATTATTATTTTGATTCAATTCACTATTATGTTGAGATTTTTTTCCCCAATATTTCTAACTAATAATGTTGAGATATTTTTTTCAATATGGATTTCAAACGATAATGTCGAGTCTTTGAGAGGGGCATATTTGTTCAATTTAACTATAACGATAAAACCATTTTTTGTATCTAAAAAAAAACATAATTGCTCTATTTTCAATAGCTCAAGAGCATATCTGCTCCATTGGGCTAATAATAAAGTTTTTTATATGTGAAAAAATAAATAAACAAAGGGCATAATTGCTCTATTTTCAATCGCTCATAAAATTAATTAGAAAAAAAGGACATATTTGAGGTTTCAAACAAAAGAAATTTAAACATTCATTTGCCTATTTTTATTACACAAAAAATGATTTTTAGGGATAATTAATTAATAATAAA